AGCGAGAGGGCCACGAAGGGCGACAGCGGGGCTACGAAGGGCATGCGTATAGGGGCCACGACGGGCGTTTGCGAGCTGGGGCCACGAAGGGCATATAATGCGGGGCCACAGTGGGCAGCGACGGGGCCACTGAGGGCAGCAACGGGGCCACGAAAGACAGCGAGCGAAGGCGACCGCGGAACCAGTACGGGCAGCGAGGGGCATCGAAGGCGGGCGAAGGGCAGCGAGCGGCGACTGCAGTCCCTAACGGGCTGGTCGGGTGGGCAGGCCCAGACGGGCGGGTCGAGCGGGCGGGTCGTTGAAGCGTAAATTCTGCTTGAACCGCCAGGCAATATGTAGCGGGAGCGCGATTCCTGAGTGTCGAGGAACGGCATCTGAATACATTGTGAGGAAGTATCAAGCGGGAGCCGCGATCCGGTGGTAAATCCCACCAGCCCTCTGGGCGTCGGTGGTTTAGGGCGTTTCCTCTTCCACCCCTCCCTCTTCCCCTTCGGGGAGGGGTTTACCCCTCCCCCTACCCCCTACCCACTGACCTGGACAGGAGGGGCGGGGAGCGGTCAGAGCGTCCAAAACGGCCTCGGCGAGGAAGCCAAAATCATTGATTTTACTATGGTTTTGGCCCCATTTTGGCCTTCTGAGGGGGCAGCGCTAATTAGAGCTCCCCTCTTCTTTCATCGATTTCCTCCACGATGGCCGCAAGAGGCCCCCAGGATGCCCCAAGAGGCCCCGAGATGGCCCCAAGATGGCCCCATGTGGCCCCAAGAAGCTCCCAAGAGGCCCCCAGGATGCCCCCAAGAGGCTCCAAAGAGACCCCCACGAGGCCCCAAGAGACCCCCCAGAGGCACCCAAGACGCTCCAAGAGGCCTCGGCGAGAATGCCCAAATCATTGATTTTACTAAGGTTTTGGCCACATTTGGGCCTCCTGGGGGGGGTGGCACTGCTTCAGATGACTCCAAGAGCGCCTGGGAGAGCCCAAGATGACCTCCAAGATGGCTCAAGATATCCCAAAATGCCTCAAGATGGCTCCCACGATGCTCCAAGAGGCCCCAAGACCGCTTCAGGACGGCTCCAAGTGGCCAAAGAGCTCCCCCAGGAGGCCCCGAAGAGGCCAAAATCATTCCAAAACCTTCGGAAAATCAACAATTTGGGCTTTCTCGCCTTTTCGCTTCCGATGGCCATCCGAGGCTTCAAGATGACTCCAAGATGGCCCAAGAGGGCTCCAAGGGCGCTCTGAAGGCTCCCAAGAGCGCTTCAAGAGGGCCCCACGAGGCGCCCATGAGGCCCCAGGAGGCCCCAACAAGCGCCCCAGAGGCCTCCAAGAGGCCCCCAAGAGACCCCCAAGAGGCCCCAAGAAGCTCTCCAAAGCACCCAAGACGCTCTAAGAGGCGTCTGGGACCGCCAAGAGGCCCCTAAGACGCTCCAACCGGCCTCCACTGGGGTACCCTTCCTTTGTGTGCTGCCCACTTCCCTGATCGAGGCACTTCCTCTGGGCATCGTTTCTGGATGGGCTGGTGAGGTTACGCGAAGCGTCTAGAATTGCAAGGAAGTCCCAAGCGAGAGCGCGATTCTTCAATACATTGTGGGGAAGTATCAGGCGGGAGCCGCGATCCGGTGGTAAATTGCAAGGAAGTCCCAAGCGAGAGCGCGATTCTACAATACATTGTGAGGAAGTATCAGGCGGGAACCGTTGTTGTTGTAAACCGGGGGCCAACGATACAGTTTGACCCTCACGACTTTCCCTTGTAAAAAAACAGGGTGCGAGCCCCAGGGAGGGCACTTCAATCGAAAAAACAATGTGCACCGGACTGGGGGGATGAACAATAATTATTCTTCAGGAGTGAAAGTTCAACAACAACAACAACAACAATCATTTTACCCGAACGCTCAGTGTTCTCACCAGTGCCAGGGTTTTCATACGACGCCCGCCAATACCCCCACTTTGTGGGGGGGCCGGTTCAAGCTCTACCACATTTCCAAACGACTCTTCGCCACCACCCACACCCAGCTTCCCGCCCTATGACGTTCGGACACTTCACTTCGTGGCATGCGGACGACCGTGGCTACTACACTGGCGCATGGTTTCAATGACTTATTTGACATGTGTCCCGCATGGTATTATTTGACAGGGATGATGGCCCTGGCAGGTGCGCAACCGTTGTTGCAGAAGTTCGAAAAAGTTGCTCGCAAAAGCCCGTTTGACAGAAATGTTTAAAAAGTGTTGGGTTTCCTACGAATCCGCAAGAGCGCGCGGGATGAAATTTTGACATTTTTTTTTTTTGAAAAACCATTGGTTTTTTGATGTTTTTATGTTAAAATCGCTCCGAACACTAAGCTTTTGGAAGGATTTCGTCTTGCGCGCGCGAATGTCCACTTTACCTTATTTTTTGCAAGGGATTCTTGAAATTTGATTATATTAGAACAAGAAATGTCATTTTATAGTGTTTTTTGCAAGGGAAAACGGATTACAACAAAACAACCGGATCTTGATGACATCGTATTACCTGAGGCTTCCTCACGAAAATGATGAAAATGTAGCTGCGGCCTAGGCGGCGCAGGGGGGGCGTGCACCAGGGGGCCCAACAATAATTATTCTTTAGAATTAATAATGTTCAACAACAACAACAGCAACAACAACAACAACAGCAGCAACAGCAACAGCAACAGCAACAACAACAACAACAACTACAACTACAACTACAACAACAACAACAACACCAATCATTTTAAGACTGTCCGCTCTTACTTGCCCGCGTGCCATGCAACGTGTATACCCACGCCCTCGATACCCGCCCCCTTCGTCTTCGAGCGTACCCCCTTCTGGGGGGATTCTTTCTTTTTGCGGGGGCGGGCGGGCTTAGACAAGCGGGCGTGAACGGGCGGGGAATTATTCGGAGGATGGGGCACGCATCTCTTTGCCCACCATTGGAATTAGCGCGGGCCCTGCAAGAAGAGGAAGGGGGAGAACGAGGGAGAGTGGGAGGAAGGGAGGGGGAGGGACGAGGCTAAAGGGGAACACGCCAGGAGAGAGGGGGCGAGGAGGGGGGGGGGGACGATTGGAGATAGAGAGACAGAGGAGGGAGGAAGGAGGAGGCTGGAGAGGGGAGGGCGAAGAGAGGAGGGAGGAGGGTTATGGGAGGAGGGTGAGGGGAGAGAGGAAGAGGGAGGAGGAGGGTGGATATGAGGGAGAGGGGAGGGAGGAGGGAGGTTGGATGGGGAGGAAGGGGCAGGAGGGTAAGAGTGTGAACGTTCGAGGAAGTCCTAGGCGAGGGCGTATTCCTCAAGGAAGAGTTGGGCGGGAGCGGGGGTCCCGAGTACATTGTCGGACGTCTCAGACGGGAGCGCCGGTCGGGCGGGCGGACCCTGACGGGCGGGTCCAGCGGGCGGGACATTCAAACGGGATTTTTGCGCAAATTGCGAGGAAGTATTAAACGAAAGCGCGATTCCTAAGTAAATTGCGAGGGCGTCCTTGGCGCGAGCGTGGTTCCTGAGCGTCGAGAACGCGATGCTGCAATAAATTGCGAGGAAGTCCTAAGCGAGAGCGCCATTCCTGAGTAAATTATGAGGAAGTCTCGGGCGGGAGCAGGGGTCCTGATTAGGAAGTCTCAAGCGGGAGCGCCGTTTCTGAATAGAATATGAGAAAGTCTGAAGCGGGAGCGCCCTTCCGGAGTAAATTTTGAGGAAGTCTCAGGCGGGAGCGGGGGTCCTGAGTAAATTGTGAGGAAGTCTCAGGCGGGAGCCGTTGTTGTTGTAGTCTGGGGCCCAACAACGCAATCTGATCCGCAAGGCTTTCCCTGTCAAAAAACAGGGTGCGAGCCCTGGAGGAAGCACTTCAATTGAAAAAAACAATGGGCACCGGACAGGGGGGATCAACAATAATTATTCTTCAGAAATGAGAGTTCAACAACAGCAACAGTACCAGCAGCAGCAACAACAACAGCAACGGCAGCAACAACAACACAATAAGCATAATCCTCATCACGGATTTTCGCTTCAGCCACGCACCCAGGGACAATGAATGACCGTTCGGCCCCCTCACTCTGACGATCGGATGTACATCGATCCTCGATCCTACCCGAAGAGGTCCGAGAGCTCCTCCTCAAGGTGCACAGTTCGTGTTGGTGCCACAATCGATCCTCCGCTCCATCATGGGGGGGTCCCGAAACGATGCGGCTACAATCCGCGCGGTGATCCCCAAAGACCCCTACCGCACGGTCCGTCACGTCATGGTTGTGGGACCCTGGGAGGCCCCAGTCGCCCGAGATGTCCTCGGAGAACGACCCGAGTCCCAAAACTACGCGGCCACCCCGAACCCCAACTAACTCATCACATGGGCGGCGACGATAGGGGGACCGGCATACGGGAGGACACATCTACCTGAAATCGGCGATTCATCGCCGATGGATCGGCGATAGGCCCCCGCGAGCAGATCCCCACGCCTTCTGGGCGGGGTGGGGACATCAGACCCCTACCGGCGATCAATGGGCGATTGAGGGTCAATGGTCGAGTGAGGGTCGACGGCATGATTTGTTCATTACGTCGACAGAAGAGAAGTCTCGACCCATTCTCCAGGTCTGGGTTCTCGTCCTGAGTCGTGTCTTGACAGTCCCGAGGGCCAGTGAAGGCTCCCAGAGGCCCGAGGGCGTCTGGGCCTACGCATAACCCCCCCCATCGGTGGTCCTGACCACACGGTGTGGTCACCGCACCGTCTGTGGGACCCCGACCCCCCCGTCACAAATAAGTTCACACAAAGCCCAGGACTCCCAATCTTTTTCTATATTCTCTGGGTCTTCGTTCCCTCTTGACTAAAGGGGCCCCAGGACACACAAATAAATACACACAAATAAAAAGATTCCCCATATTTTCCTATATTTTCTGCGTTTTTGTCTTCCCCCCCCACTTCCCATATTTTCCCATATTTTCCCGGGGATCGTCGATTAATTGTGTCTGTGTTTCTTTCCCTCCTGATTGACCTCGTCACCCCCCTCGCCCGGAGCCCCCGCCCGGAGAACGACAGGTACATGGTGCCGTGGGTCGCCTCCCGGCACCACGACAGCATGGAGCACAGCGCGATGGCCTCTCCGCGGCAGGGCCGGGCTCGGCGCGGCGGGGGGGGCTCCCCCCGAGGGGAGTGAGGATCAAGTCGGGCCTGTCCCCCTACAGGGGGATTCTCGACGAACAATAAAGAATACCCCCAAAATAGTTTCAAAAATAATCAAAAAATAGTCTGGGGACTACTTTTGGACTATTGGTTGACCTTTTTGGGGTATTTGTGGGGTATTCTTCATTCTTCGTCGAAAATCCCCCTGTAGGGGGACACGCCCGACATAAAGTTGGGAAGCACTGCTGGGAGGTCCTCGTCGGAAGGAGGATTCAGAAGGATTGCAGTCGTCGGCCTGACCTGAGGAACGATAAATGAGAAACGAAGCCCCTTTTTCCAAGGAGTAACGCCTAAGGAACTATATTTAATAAACAACGCATAAGGAAATATGGATAACGCATGCAAACCTAAGGAACGACCGAGCCCCTTTTGAATAGAGAGTGTTCCCTATGCAAGCCGCTCACCGTAAGCCCCACTGGGGGGGCTGCTACGCCCGATTGAGCCGCGGATGAAGCGTGATTTCGCCGGAGTGAGGGGGGCTGAGCCGGACAGAGCGGGATACAGCCGGATCTCGGACCAGGGCAAAGTCAGAATCTGACCTCCCTGGAGCTGCACTCAAACTGAGGGAGGGGGGGGGGCGGGGAGGGAAGATGGCACGATAGAGTACAGCGATGGGGGGTGGGGAGCTAGGAAAAACGGGAGCGAGGTGGGGAGCGACGGGAGTTCGACAGATATTTGCTGCCGCAAGCGCGAAGGAGGAGATTCCAAATGAGGGCTCATGCGAGTGGCACTATCTTTTTGACCGTCTTCGCCGCTCACTGCCCCTCGATCCATCGTCGCTCTCAACGCGTGGCCCTGGAGGCGGCAAGAGGTCTGCACTGACTGGGGCCCCGAGTCGCTCATCAAGAGGGGAGCACGGGGCCAATTCCGCTTAAAATCGGTTCGGTAACGCCTTCCCAGGGTCCATATTCGGGGGAGCGTCAACATGGATGAGCGATCCATGGGTTTGGCGCGCGGTCATCAAATCCGTGCATCGGGGGAGGTGCCCCCCCCCCCAAAACGCGGCCGGCGCCGTCTCGCTCGGCGGCGGAAATCCGCGATTCCCCCTGGAAACGGGACTCGTCGCGAATCCGCGCCCCCTTGATCCATGTTTGCGATCGCCTGACGTGTGGCGCAATCTGTCACTCTGGATCCGGTGTTCACGGTCCCGGGGCCCGAGCGCGGCCCCCCGAGGCCGAGAGCGGTGCTTGAGACAAGTTGCTCGAGCCCACCAAATTCACCTGGCGAAGAGCCCGTCCACATGCAGTTGTGAGTGCCGCACTCGTGAGTAGCGTCTTCGGTGGAGCTCCCTGTGGGGCCCCGAACCTTTTGAGGGGTGCGCCGACATGAGGGTGGAACTGCATGCGAACGCTGCCACTACGGCCTTCGATGGATCTCCCCTATGGGGCCACGGACCCTGTGAGGGGTGCGCCGAAATGAGGGTGGAACTGCATGCGAACGCTGCCACTGTGGGGCGCCCTATGGGGGCACGAAACGGTTGACGGGTGTGCCGACATGGGTCGGGCGGACGCATGTGGCCACTCCCACTGGGGCCTTCGGTGGAGCTCCCTTATGGTGCCACGAAGCGTTGTACTGGGTGTGGCGGACGCATGTGGCCACACCCACAGGGGTCTTCGGTGGAGCTCCCTATGGGGAAACGAAACGATGTACTGGGGTGTGGCGGTGGAGCTCCCTATGGGGCCACGGGACGCTGTACTGGGTGTGGCGGACGCATGCGGGCACCCCCACTGTGGCCTTCGGTGGAGCTCCCGGCGATGCCACGAAACGCTGTACTGGGTATGGCGGGCCCATGCGGGCACCCCCACTGTGGCCTTCGTTGGAGAACCTTATGGGACCATGAAGCGATGTACTGGGTGTGGCGGACGCATGCGGGCATCCCCACTTGGGCCTTCGGTGGAGCTCCCTGTGAGGCCACAAACGCTGTACTGTGTGTGGCGGGCGAATGCGGGCACCCCCACTGGGGCCTTCCGTGGAGCTCCCTGTGAGGCCACGAAGCGCTGTACTGGGTGTGGCGGACGCATAAGAGCACCCCTACGGGGGCCCTCGGTGGAGCTCCCTATGGGGCCACGAAACGCTGTACTGAGTGTGGCGAACGTATGCGAACACCCCCACTGGGGCCTTCCGTGGAGCTCCCGATTGGGCCACGAAACGCTGTACTGTGTGGCGGACGAATGCGGGCACCCCCACTGGGGCCTGCGGTGGAGCTCCTTATAGGGCCACGAATCGCTGTACTGGGTGTGGCGGACGCATAAGAGCACCCCCACGGGGGCTCTCGGTGGAGCTCTCTATGGGGCGACGAAGCGCTGTACTGAGTGTGGCGGACGTATGCGGGCACCCCCACTGGGGCCTTCGGTGGAGCTCCCGATTGGGGCCACGAAACGATGTACTGTGTGTGGAGGACGAATGCGGGCACCCGCACTGGGGCCTTCGGTGGAGCTCCGAGGCCACGAAACGCTGTACTGTGTGTGGCGGACGAATGCTGGCAGCCCCATTGGGACCCTCGGTGGAGCTCCCTATGGGGCCACGAAACGTGTGAGGGGTGCGCCGACATTGTGGACATGCGGTGAGCAGAGGCAGGGATGTGAGGAGGGAGGGAGGAGGAGGAAGGAGAGGAGATGCGGAGCGCTCTCTCTTCAAAACGAGGACCCGACACCACAGGATGTTTGGGAACAAACAAGCATGATGCCCACTCGTTTCCAAACTGTGGCTCTCGCCTTAGCGCCACGCATGTGTGCTTTAATGCCGACGGCAAGTACAACATGGAGACCGATTCGTTTTCAAAATCCGGCTCTCGCCTGAGCCCCGCGTACACTCGCCAAACAACATACCAAACAGTTTCGAGGACGGCAAGGGGGTCAAAAAGCGGCTAGCGTTGCGCACACTCGCTTCAACAACCCCAACTATTACCAATTATGGAGGCCGCTCCGTTCAAAATGAGACTCGCGATTGAGACTTCAGTGTATGACCCGAAGCTCGAAACTGTGCAACAGCTACACGGATGAAGAGCGGCTCATTTTCGATGTGACGCTCTCACTTGAGGCTTCCGCAGTATTATAACCACACCTTGCAATACTGCAACCCTGAGTTGGATGGAGGCTGATCCTTTTCAAAACGGGGTTGCCACTGGACACCGCTTTGCGTCTCTTCCGGCAAGAAACATGGACGGTGGATCCTGAACAAACTGGCGATCGCCTTTCAGCGGGGGTTGATTCATGCAGTGGAAAGGCGTACTCGTGAGGACTTCTCAAGGAGGGTATTGGGACGCGAGAGGGTATTGCAGCATCGTTGATCCATCCTACGGATGGCTCGTGCGGCGTCGGCGCGCGCAAAGGTCTTTGACACCGCGTCGATCGTTCAAGCTCGAACCGATCGCGGTCCCGAGCGTTCAAGGCTGAACCCCGTCGGGTCCAGTGGCGCTACCGTGCCCCTCGGCACTTCCGCGTCGCAGAATTCAGCCCTCAACGCCTCCGCGGGCGTCGCTGGCGTGCTATCGCCGCACGAACATGCCGCTCCCTCTGCGCCTCATTCACCCATTCTCCCCCTCCTTCTCCGCCTCATTCTCCTCCTCCTCCTCCTCCTCCTCCTCCTCCTCCTCCTCCTCCTCCTTCTCCCCTCCTCCGCCTCCCCATCCCTGCGCCTCCCCTCCGCCGCTCCCTCTGCGCCCGCACCCTCTGCTCCAGGTTCGTGCGGGTTGGGCGGCCGGCTGGGGAAACACACGGGCATCGATACCGCTACTCCCCGGACCTCCTCCGGGGTGCGGTCTGACCAGGGTTTCGCGGCGAGTCCAACGGTAGCGACGAGGAGGGCCTCCCAGGAGGCCCCAACAAGGGGGAGAAACGAGGAAAGGGTAGCGATAGGGGTAGCTGTTCCACCTCCTCCTCCTCCTCCTCCTCCTCCTCCTCCTCCTCCTCCTCCTCCTCATCCGCCCCTCCTCCTCCTCCGCTTCCTCCTCATCCTCATCCTCCCTTTCCTCCTCCTCCTCCTCCTCCTCGCTCCTCGCTCCTCGCTCCTCGCTCCTCGCTCCTCGCTCCTCGCTCCTCCCTCTTTCCTCCTCCTCCTCCTCCTCCTCCTCCTCCCTCCTCCTCCTCCTCCTCCTCCTCCTCCTCCTCCTCCTCCTCCTCCTCCTCCTCCTCCTCCTCCTCCTCCTCCTCCTCCTCCTCCTCCTCCTCCTCCCTCCGACCCTCTGCGCCCGCACCCTGGGCAGGGCGGCCTGCAGCCAGTAGATGGTGGAGGTCCAGAACGAGAACGGGTGCCACCTGCGGGGGCGGGGGGGGCCGGCCCGTCGGCCGAAGGCCGTCCGGGGGGGCGGCGGCGGCGGGCGGGAGAGGAGGGCGGACGGGATGGAGACTAGAAGGGAGAGGGGATGCGGGGATGAGGCGAATGCGGGGACGAGGCGAGGGCGGGAAAAGGGGGGGAGGTGGGGGTGTGGGGGGGGAGGCGGGGGAGAATGAGAGGACGAGGGAGGCGGGGGGAGGGAGAAAGTGAGAGCATGAGGGACAGGGAGAGGACCAGGGTTTTTTCTCAATTGTAAAAAAGTGTTGCCCGCTCACTAATGGATGCCCCCCCCCCCCCCGCAATTATCGCGTGCTATTGCATGCACGGAGCGGGTTGAGGCTGAGCTCGGGTGGGCGCGTGCACCCTCCGGCTGCCCTCCCCCACTCCATTCCTCCCTCCTCGCCTCCCCTCCCGCCCTCCTGCCCCGCTCGCGGGGGTGCTGAGTGAGCAAGAGGACGGTGGTGGCCTGGTGGGTGTACCAAAGGTCCATCTTCTCCTCCAGCCCGTGCTTGAAGGCGGCTTTCTCGGCGGGGGTCCTCCGAACCTCGTCCGCGGGGTCTTGCGCGCCCTTTTCGGCGTTGCCCTGCCGCAGGGCGGCGGCCGTCGCCTCCTCGGCCTTGATCGGGTCGCCTCCTCGGGCCACTCCCACAAAACTCCCATCCCGCTGAACCCCCCTGAAGGAACTAGGTGTTTGTGAATACTTACGGCGCTTCCTCTCTGGTGTAAATCGCAAACTTCAGCTGCAACACCTCGGGGTCAGGATGCTCGCGTGGGCCCCGGCAGAAGGAGAAGGAGAAGGTGATGATCTGTGCCACCTGGTCTCTTCAGCCTCGCCCGCCGGCCTCCCAGACGGCCCGCAACATGTCCGCGGGCGCGAAGGCCTTCTCCGGCAGCAACTGGCGCCACTTCAGGACCGCGCCGCGCCGGGCAGCAGCCGCGACATGCGGACCAGGCGCACGGGGTGGAGGCCATCCACGGCGCGCGCGCCCCCCCACCCCTCCGGGGCCGCAGGCGACCCGAGGAGGCGGAGGAGGAGGAGGAGGAGGAGGAGGAGGAGGAGGAGGAGGAGGAGGAGGACGAGGAAGAGGAAAGGAGGGGCAGGGGGAGAGGGAGGAGATGGAGGAGGAGGAGGAGGAGGAGGAGGAGGAGGAGGAGGAGGAGGAGGAGGAGGAGGAGGAGGAGGAGGAGATGGAGGAGGAGGAGGTGTCCCGCGCTGACGATGCCAAGTCCGTCTGAGGACCTGCTCGGCGCGCGGCCGCCGGAGCCCGCCCCGACCCCAGGGGGGGCCGCAGCTCCCCCCAGGTCCTCTACGGTCAGGGGGACGTAAGACCTGGGTACAGTGGACTCGGAAATCCCCGACGAGGTCGTCAAAAAAATGACGAGGCCGAGCCTGCATTTTGACGAGGCCTCCCGCTGCAGACATCCCACGAAACTCCTCCTGGTCAAAATCCGAGGCGCGGTCGTCAAAAAACGATGGCGAACCCGAGTCCTGGCAAACCCGGGTCTTACGCTCCTCCGATACGGGGCAGACGGGGGCCCCGGGGGCCCGAAAACCAGCGCGGAGGGGAAGGGCCCTGCAGAGAGCCCCGCGAAACTGCGGCCCCCCCGAGGCCACTCGGGCCTGCCGAGGCCCACGAGAACTCGCCGTCGCGAACCACCACCGTCTTGCCGTTCCTCCCGCCCTCGCCGAAAGGGTTCTCTGGTGCTGCCGGGCCCAGACAGCACGCGCCGCCCGGACCACGGCCCTGCGCGGCGTGCGCCAAGCACCTGGTCTGCCAGAGCACCGTGGCCTTGCACCCGAATCCACCACGCTTGAGCTCCAGCTTCGCCTCCCGCATCTCGTCGAAAGCGCCAGAGCCCTATCCACCACAACTATGCTGGCAACCTGCATCAGCAACTCCTGCGCCACGAATTCGAACAAGACGGCTTTGCCTTGAGGGAAATCCCAGGCTGCTAGAAAGCGGAGCCCCGGCCCTCGAAACGGACGAACGAGTGCCGAACACGAGAACAACCGTCGGCTTCACGACAACCGCGGACTTCGCCAGGGTTGCCAGCCTTGTCCGCCATCAGCTCTCGGGACTTCATCATGACGACTTTGACGACGCTATCGCGCTTCGCACCCTTCGCCATCACCGCCACGGCCTCCACTGCGACGATGTTGGTCACTTGCTCCAGACGGGTCTTGATCACCGCACTGCTTGCGGGAGTGCTTGAGGGCGTGCTGATGCCGCCCATATTCACCTCGCCGCTTCCCCTTCCCTAGGGAGCAAACAGACCTATCTCGCTTTTGACCACCCTCGCTTCCAAGAGATACCAAGCGATGCCAAACTACGGCCTGTACTGGTCAGGCCGCTTGACGAGGAGGCGTATGCTATGACTTGGTTTTGCCCGGAAGCGAAAGCGGGGTAGGTAATTCACGCTCTGATTCCCGCGCCACTGCCCCCCCGCGTCGCGCCCCCCCAACGAGCGCGCGCCTGCGGGGGCTGCCTGCCGGACCCCGCAGGCCCTCGGGCACGAGGGAGGGCCTCGGGCGGAGGCCGTGCAGAGCAGCCCGCCGCGTCGGCGCGGCGGGGGGGCGAGCCTGCAGGGGCAGGGAGGGGCGCTCGCGCCTGCTGCAAGACGTGCGTCCAGTCGTGGGAGCTCGAGCCAAGATGGCTACGGGCTGTCCTCCTCCTCCTCCTCCTCCTCCTCTTCCTCCTCCTCCTCCTCCCTTCCTCCTCCCTCCTCCTCCTCCTCCTGCTCCTCCTCCTCCTCCTCCTCCTCCTCCTCCTCCTCCTCCTCCTCCTCCTCCGTCTCGCGGCGGCCAGCACGGGGGGGAAGTGAGAAGGGGCGGGCCTTCTCAGAAGGCTCGGAAACCCTCCGAGACCCCCGAGAAGTCTCCCGATCCCTCCCCGAAGACGCAGGGAGCACCCCTCGGAAGGCGCGCGAGGGCCCGGCTTCTGAGAAGGCCTCCTCCTCCTCGCTCGCCCAACTCGCTCGCCGCAGCTTCTCCGCCTCCTCCTGCTCCCCTCCCTCCTCCTGCGAGCGGGCCCGTGCGCCGCCCGCGCACTCCCCGACTCAGTCTCCGCAGGAGGCCGGCCCCGCGGCGAACGCGCGGGCGACCGCGCACTCCTGGCCGCGCCGAGGCTGCGCCGCTCTGGCGGCGCGCCGCTCGGCAGCCCAGCCGGCGCGGTCAGCCGGCAGCCCGGACAGCCAGCTGGGCTTCCTGGGCGATAGGCGACGCGCCAGTGTGGCCTTCGAACCCGTTCCCGTGCCGGCTTTGAGCGCATTCGGTCGGCCCTGCGGCCAGCCTCCCGAGAACGTGCGGCAGCGGTCTCCCGAACTGGATCGAATGCGTCGCAGCAGGAAAGCGTCGTCCTGCACCAGGGAAGCCACGGTCACGCGGCCTGGGAACGCCATCTCGATCCACTCCGCACAACGCTCCCCTTCAACCGTAGCAGACGCGCGTGGCAAGAAGGGACACGAACGCATGGAAGCCACGTGGATTGAACGACCCATCGAGCATGGACCCGAATCCTACCTTGAACATCGACGACGTGATCTGCTGCCTGGTCAAAGCCGACTCTGACCGAACGTGTTGGTCCAAGCAAATCCTGGGCCTCGACCCCAGCAACTGAATCTTCGCGTTCACGCTCGAGGTCCTTCCCATCAGAGGCAATCCCTATCGTGAGCGTTTTTATACTCAGAGTTTTGACATTGGGCGGCAAGCGGGGGGGAGGGGGGGGCGGTCTGGCTCCGGACCTCTGCTTACTGCGACTGCTTGCAGCAGTGGGTCCTATGAGGGGAGACTCACCTGCTCGAAATAGGCGCCCAAAACAGCCAAGATCTACTCCATGAGGGGGGGAGGGGGGGGGGGGATTGGGGGGCCCGCGCCGATCGGCAAAACAGTGAATAAAAAAACCCTCACAATTACAACCGCTGACGACGACGCCGCTCATCTGCCCCTGCCGCCCTCGCCCTCCCCAGCTCCTCTTGCCGACCCCTCGTGGGGGTGGCCAGCCGCTGCACCGCTGGGGCCGCTGCTGCAGCTGCTACTACGACTACGAGGTTGTACGACGACGGCTGCTGCTACATCTCATCCATCTCGTCCGTTGCTGCTGCTGGCTCTTGCTCCTCCGCCTTCGCCTTGCAACCGCTCGGACCGTCCACTCCGTGTGCTTCCGTCGGTCTCGTGTTCTGACGTCTGGCGAGATGCTCCGAGTGGCTCCTCGATGGCTCTTTTTTGCCAAGAGGAAACAGGCACACGTCCGAGCGGTGCCGAGTCTGAGGTCGGGCGTGTCCCCCTACAGGCGGATGTTGGACTAAAAATAAAGGATCCGCTGGTCCGGCGTGTGAGTTTGAAAGAGCCTTAGATGTAGCCTCAGTTTCAGTTCCTGAGCTTCTGCTCTGCTGGAGGGTGGGCGCAGGGGTGGCTCTGCCGGGGTAGGGGGGTGGGGGGGGGGAACGCGCTGTGCTCCGTTTTCTGGGGGGGGTCGGGCCGTGGGAAACACAGCAGAGTGCCACCCCGGATGCCAGAGAGCCCAAGATTGCTGCAAGATATTTCGACGACGGCCCAAGATGTACCCAAGACGGTCCAAGATGGCGTCATGACGGCCCAAGAGGCCTTCAAGAGGCCTCTAAAACGGCCCAAGACGTCTCCAAGACTTCCCAAGAGGCCCGAAGAACGCTCGAGAGGCCCCCCAAGAGGCCCCCAGAGCACTCCAACAGCACCTCCAAAAGGAGCGTATGAGGCCAAAATCGCATGTTTTCCAGAAGTTTTCGACGGAATGTGACATTCTCGCATTTTCGGGTTTCCGCGCTCCAAGACGGCCCAAGAGGCCCCAAAGATCGCACCAAGACGGCCACAGAGGCTCCAAAGAACGCACCAAAACTGCCAAAGGAGCCCCAAGGCTACTCAAGAGGGCCCCAAGACGGCCCAAGAGGGCTCCAGGACTACCTCGGAGGCACTCAAGGCGCTCCGAGAGAGCCCCAAGACGGCCCCAACAGAAGCCCCAGAGAGGGAACCCGACCCAACACTTCGAGTCTCCCGGCGCAAGAGGCTCCCAAGAAAGCCCACGAGGCCTCTCAGAAGCCCCCCAGGAGGCCTCAGGGGGACCCCGATAGGCCCCGAGATGCCCAACAGGCCCCGCAATTGTCCCGAAAAGGCCCCCGAACTGCGTCCAACAGGCCTCCGAGAAGCGTCCCAGGACACCCCGACACACATACAAGAGGCATGAAACACACAACCCAAGCACGGTGGCGGGTTGGGCGGAAAACCACTAGGAAAATAAACAAATATTGCACGTGTACTCATATTCTCATCATCATCATCATCATCATCATCATCATCATCACCACCACCACCACCACCACCATCATCATCATCATCATCATCAGCATCAGCATCAGCATCAGCATCAGCATCAGCATCAGCATCATCATCATCATCATCATCATCATCATCATCATCAGCATCAGCATCAGCATCAGCATCAGCATCATCAGCATCAGCATCAGCATCAGCATCAGCATCAGCATCAGCATCAGCATCAGCATCATCAGCATCATCATCAGCATCAGCATCATCAGCATCAGCATCATCAGCATCAGCATCAGCATCAGCATCAGCATCAGCATCAGCATCATCATCATCATCATCATCATCATCATCATCATCATCATCATCATCATCATCATCATCATCATCATCATCATCATCATCATCATCATTCTCGTCGTCGTCGTCATCGTCCTCGCCTTCGGAAAGCCAAAAAGGAAGAAACCCCCGAATCCTTCAAAAACCTACAGGAAATCACTTGTTTGGGCCTCTTCGGGTGCTCCTGGAGGTCCACTTGGAGGCCTCTTGGGCCGTCTTGGAGGCCTCTCGGGGGCTGCTTAGGCCGTCTTGGGCCATCGTGAGGCAATCCCTCCCTCCACCTCCCTCCGCCTCATCCTCCACCTACTCCTCCACCTCCCCTTCCACCAACCAGATCGCATCGGGAGCGCCCCCGGATCGGCGGCACTGGCCGGAGGCCACTACAATAGTCAAAGATACCCCCCAAACGCTCAAAAACAGTCAAAACATAATTACTGCTTTTGAGTATCCCTTCTGTAGAGGGGCAGGCCCGACTTAGCTCAAGCCCCTTCCTGCTCCTCGCTGTCTTCCCTCTCCTCTCTCCTCCGCCCCCCACGCTCCCCTCCCGCCCGCCCCTGCTGCGCCGACGTGGCCTCCCCCGAGGCCCCCCCCCCTCCCCCCCGTGGGCGGGGGCGGACTGCGACGTGACGATGAAGGACAGGGTGAAACAGAACACGAAGATCTGGTCTGGCTGGGCCTGCCCAGAAGGAGGGGGGGAAATCGCCCCACCAGGGAGCGGGCGGCGGCACCCGCGGATCCGAGGCCGACGCTCGAGGCTCGGCATCTGGGAGGCCAGGGTCGGGAGACGCCCAAGCTGGAGGACAGGACAGGACAGGACCTGCATCGGGCCGGATTTCTAGACTCGACAATGCTACACGCACGACGATGACGACGACGACGACGAAGAAGACGACGAGGACGAGGCCTGCCAGCGCGCGCGCGCGGAGGAAGGTAGGAGGGGAGAAGCGGGGCGAGGCTCTCGCATCGAGGCTCTGGCATCGAGAGTCGAGGGCCGAGGTTGTTCTAGCACGTTGGCCTTATGGCAGCCTCCAGGGGCGTACGTTTCGAAGCCAGGCCGGTGTCTACACTTCGTGCGCGCCGGTGTGAGGATGGTCGCCTCGAATTCGGACGACAGAGGACCGACCCGGGTGCACTCCGAGAGTGGAGGCTCAAAGGTGGTGCTTCCGGTGCGTGGCAGTGGTGCGCCACAAGCGCGCCCCGCGTGTCGAATCGAGCAGAGAAACAAAATGGTTGTGGTGGCCCTCGAGTGGGCCACGCGAGAGGAGCGGCCATCGGGAGAGAGGCCCCCCTTTGGTGTTCTGGGGAGCCCGAGGCTCGCGGGCGAGAGAGGCAGGGCTGAACCTAAACGGTTTTTGTTCGTTTTCGTGTTGTTTTCGTTTTCCTTAATTTCGTCTTCAATCCGCCTTTAATGCAAAACGACATCGAAACGAAAACGGCCCACGAAATCTCCCAAACACCGTTTGGGTCCACCCCTGGCGAGAAAGACTCATCCGAATTCCCGTGTTTTGCGGGGCCCAAGACCTGCGGACGAGACGAGAGCCTGCAGTTTGCGGGCCTCGGGGCTCGCGGAGCAGGACTCCGCCAACGTTTTGTGGCCCGCGTGGCGCCCGATCCGAACAGACACAAGCTGGTGCTCTGCTGCGCCCAAGGATCACCCACGAAAGACCTTGGTCGTGTGGGGTGGAGGGTGGGGCGCGAGCATCTCGTCAGAAAAGATCCCCGAAACCACCGCTCAAACGAGTGCACCTGCCCGAAACTGGCCGGCGGGTGCCGAGGCTTAAGGTTATGTCGGGCCTGTCCACCTACAGGGGGATGTTCGACGAAAAATAAAAACAATCCCAAAAATAATCAGAAAATACTCCAAAAATGGTCTGGGGACTATTTTTTGAATATTGTTTGACCTTTTTGTTGTGTTTTTGGGGTACTTTTTATTTTTACATCGAAAATTCCACACGCCCGACATAAGCTTAAGGGTGGAAGGAGCCGCTCCGTCCTGTGCCTTGCGAGTCCCGGGCCGTGCAGGCTGAAGAGAGCCCGTGCATCCCGAACAGCACGGAAGGCAAGACGGAAGGCAAGCCCGACGGCTTGTCTGTCCCAAGATGTCCCTTAAAAAAATGAACGGTAACAGCGGGCAGAGCTGAGCTGTCTCTTCGCGTCTCAGCCTGGTTACGCGTGGGATGCTTGTGAGCTGCGCTCGGACGTAAGCACAAGTCTGCCAGAGTTGGTGACGTTCGAGGAGGTAAGCCGACCTCGTACATTGTGAACCGTAGCCCAAGAAAAAAAACAAAGATGACCCTTGTGCGATGTGTGGCGCCAGGGGCACACACGACAGGAAAGGATCCCCTGATGTTTATGGGTCCCGAGGCTCTGCGGACGAAAAAGTCCCCTGTGCTTTTTGTGGGCCCCGAGGCTCACGGGCGAACGCAAAAAGTGTCATGTGTCTGTTTCGTGGGGGGCGAGGAATATCAGGAGAAAGGTGAGGATGATGAAGAAAAGGATAACCTGGGGGAGGAGAAATGCGAACGGAAAGAGCGCCAGGAAGATCAGGAGCCGACGAGGATGATTGTAACAGGGATGGGGATAAGGGAAAGGACGGGAACGAGGAGGCAAGGACGACGCCGACGCCGAGGCAGGCAGGGAAGGAGATGGATCAGCCTGAACAGTGTTCAGCCCTTGTGCCCAATCCCCTCGCCCATTCATGAATATGCTACTGAAGAGTCTAACGACAACAAAGATCGACGAACCTCCATAGAGCGCGCGCTGGACGGTTGACCCTCTGGTGGTGTCGCCAGCACACGCCAGGCAAGCCTACGAAGAAGCTTGCCGCCCCCTTTCCCGAACCCCGCTGCGCCCGCTCCGGAAAACCCGCGGCGCCCCCTGCTCGCGCCCTGTCGCAGGTTCACGCGCCCCGCCCCGCCCCCCCCCCCCCCCCGCCTTCCTCGCTTTCGTCCTGTTCTCCCCGCGTCTGGGCGCGAATTGATGGGGGCCGATAACAAAAAGGGAAGGAGGAAGGAGGCCTCTTCGGGCCCTGAAAGCCCCCACGGGGCCCGAATGGGCCCCTTCAAGGGCCCTAGAGGCTGACCCCCCATCTATCGGGCCCCATCCATTCGCACCCGACCGCCTCCTCCTCTCCTCCTCCCCAAGCTTCCGGTGTTCCACCTGTACGAACCACTAATCGCCCTCTCGACCTCGTCCCCGTGTTGGACCCGGGCATGCCAGCCCCGGGCTGTCAAGCCACGCGGGCCCACCGACCCGAATGATATGCTGGCGGTCGTCCTCCCGCGTCTGCTTCTATTCCTCCTATTTTCAATACTTTCGACGCAGCGAGAGAGGGAAGGCCAGTGGCCAACCCCTCTCGAGAAAAGCGCCGCTGGAGATAATTGTCCTCTGCGTGGTTGCCCCTCGAACTCGCCGAATCGCAGAGACGGCGATCGCAGGGGCCAGGTCGTTCGTACCCGCGGACCCCACGAAAAAAAAAACGGAGAAACGCAGTGAGTTGGGAATCGACGCGTGACGCCGCAGAAATGGATACAAACTCTCGTGGTCGCGGCAACCACAAGATGCTGACCATCCTTTGAAACAAGACGAGTTGATAAGGCACCCTGTGGCCACCGCAACCAGGAACAAAATGGCACAGGCAACCTGCAGTTTTTCGAGCCGCGCCTCTAAGGTAACGACACGCACCAGGCCGTGCCGCCCCGATCAGCCAGCTGAGGGGCGCCACCCCCTCGGCGTGACCGCTCACCCCCACGCAACGCCAGGGCGGGGAACCCTGACCGCCGGTGGGGAGGGTGAGGATCTCCCAATGGGCCACCCGCAAGGGACCCGCCTTCCGCCCAGGTGCACGCAGGATACGCACCGGGCCACCGCAAGGGGAGGCAAACGTGACGACGAGGGTGCAATGTTCTCTCCCCCTGGCCACTACGAGCAAACAGGGGTGACGAACGAGCTGCTACCCCTCTCTTTCCCGGGAAGGGGACCCAGCGGCTCTTCCTCCTTTTCCTCCTGCTCCCCTTTTTCACCTCCTCCGGCACTCTCCTCTATCCTTCACACCCTGCCACGTAGCCAGGGGTGGACAGTCCCATAAGTCCATCATAGCTGACGGGGCTTTGGCCCATCACCACAGAACAAATGGGAGGGCCTCCCTCATTCTCATCCTTTCAATCGCGGTCCAAGGTGCCGTCATCAACCCACTGCTGCAATCCACGCGCCATCCTGATGCGCAACCACAAACGAAGCATTTGCCGAGTGGTAAGGCTATGGATTCTGCAACACGTGCGGCACGAGCGCTCTGCAAGCGACGCCTGGTACGCTAGCAGCAGTCCCTCCCTGGCAGCGGTATGTTGGCCATGCTGGAGCGACCTGTCGACGCTCAGTCTACGCTCACCATGTACCTTCTGCTGCCGCCCCAAGGCGTCTGGCCTGTCAGACCAGAAGCAAGATCATGGCGTGCCGCGTGGTCACCAGAAGGGTGGAAGTCGCGAGGGTCTCACTCCGCGGACGCTGTCGCGTCTCGGCGGAAAAGTAATCCTCCGCGACCCACGACGCTTCGGATGCTAATCGGCAGCACGCAGGCCAACCTCACAAACAATTTTCCCAGAGAGCAGCTCTGATCCTTCCAGACCGTCTGTGGCTCCAAGGCGCCTGGCTCTGCTGACCCACTCTAGCTCTTGAAGACTGTGGAACAATGATGGCTCTTCCCGCCTTGTTGTGGCGATGCCTGCTGCCATCGCCAAACAGCTGCCAGTGGATCACTGCGGGAATATCTCCATCCATGATGAGAGAGATCGGTAGCCTGCTCGCGGATCACATCTCCATCGGGATTCCCATGCAACTACTAGCGGGTGGTCCCAACGTGGCAGCTGCTTCCCACAAGTCGTTCGTACCATACCAAACTGTGTGCGAGAATGCATTCCACATCTCCCGCAACGTGAAGCGTTCGCGCCATCCCCTACCCAGAACGACGCCTCACTCTAGGTCGTCCTGGAGACTCCATGCAGGGCGCGGACAACTAAAGAAGAAACGCCATGTCGCGAGCTCCAATCGGCCGAGTTGACCTTGCGCAATACGCTGGCTGGACGTCCGAAGTTCAGATGCAAGCCTGAAGTCGCGAGCACCTTGAGAGCGTCTAACTTTGAACAAAAAACGCGCTGCTTATACACACTCAAGGAGTTCCAGATTTAGCTAGATTGTTCTGCGCGATCGCCCTCTGGCTCCTCTTCATGCTTCTTCCCCTCCTCCTTCGCATCCTCCATGTCATCATCATTTTCCTCTTCCGCCTCACCGTACCTTCTATCTGCTAGCCCTCCCATCCTACCTCACCCACGCCATGCCTCGGCGCTCCAACGGACCTACCCGATGGTCATTGACACACTCCCGTTGGAGCAGAGGCCCGACCGGATCGATTCCCCCGAGCTTGCCTGCCGTTGATGACGGCGAGGAGGAGGAGGAGGAGGAGGAGGAGGAGGAGGAGGAGGAGCGACAGCAGCTTCGAGTGAGGCCAGGGACTCTGGCAAAGACGGCAAACACACCACGAACCACCAAGAGCACCCCCGACCCTCTGTGGCCATCAACATCGTCCGTCCTGTCCCCACCCTCAGTGGGCTGGGGCTCCTCAGCGCCATCAGCCTGCCCCCTCGAGGTGAGCATGGATACCGCGAGACACGAGCAAGACGGCGTTTCTCCCCACCTGCGGTACAGGTCGAACAGCGGGGCTGAGGCTTTGCCAATTGGGATAGGGGATACGTCCATCGGTGCTGAGACGAGCACCCCCGAAAACCGCCACAGGAGGACGACGACAACGAGGAGCAGCCGAAGACGGAGAAAAAGGAGCCTTGGCAGTAGCATCGGACTTGCCTGCGGCCTTCCGGTCCTCGATCCACTTTTCCATGCCGTCTGCCTGGCAGCTCCTCCTTCCTCTCCCTCCTCCCTGCCTGCTGATTACCTCCTCCTGCTGCCCCCCCCGCTCCCCCGCACATCCTCACTCCTCTATTCTCCACCACCCTCCTCCCTCCTTCCCCCTCCTGTTGCTACCTTCTCTCCCCTCCCTCCTCCTCTATGTTCTCATCACTACGTTCCCTCCGCTCCCGTTTTCTACAACAATTAACTATCCGTCTCTCGACATCCCATCACCCTCCTCCTCCTCCTCCTCCTCCTCCTCCTCCTGCTCCTCCTCCCCTCCTCCTCCTCCTCCTCCTCCTCCTCCTCCTCCTCGTCCTCCACCTCCTCCTCCTCCTCCTCCCCCTCCCCCTCCGCCTCCTCCTCCTCCTCCTCCTCCTCCTCCTCCTCCTCCTCCTCCTCCCCCTCCTACATGGGAGACTGCAGGACCGAGGTGAGCAGGGGAAAGGGGGGGAGCAGGCGGAGCAGGAGGGGGAGGACGGGTCTGTTGCTGAGTGCACGGCGGCGTGGGGGATCCACTTGGCCAAAGAAGTTTCATCCTGAGCGCGGCAAGGTGCCGACGCTTGTGCAAGGAGCGGCGTGGGGGACGCAAGCGAGGCTGCGAGTGTGCAGGCCCCCGAGCAGCAGGAACCGCGTGCCTGGTCGTCGGCCTCGTGAGGGCCCCTCTGCAGGTCCGTGGACCCCGCGAGGCGGTGAGCAAAGTCCGCGCGCGGGGGATGCCAGAGACTCGCTGGAGCTTGCACGAAGGGCACCTGTCCGGAGAGATGGCTGTTAAACCGGCCGTGCGTAGCGGTGTGCCCCGGCAGCCCTCCAGCCCAGGAGGTCGAGCCTCTGCTCGACCCACCCGCAGTGACTCTTCGGGAACGGTGCTGCAGGGACCTGCACACTGGTGCATCGCCGAGTGCTGTCGTGCTCGCTCGTCCTGCGACCTCTTTTCGGGCGAGTGGGCGGCGTGAGGGGGATTTCCAGTGTGGGCTCGAGCAGATCTTGGCTGAAGCCCCCCAACAATAGGCCTGTCTGGGGTCCTGTCGTTGCATGTGGCCAATGACCCCGTTCTCGGGGATCTCAGCAACAGCGCATCATCCCGACACTGGGCCCACCTCATCAGCGAGGGTGCGGTGGCGAGGCTCGTTTGGGGGGCCGTGCGAAGCCTTGAGTGCGGCCAGGAGGCCTTTCCCTGAAACGAGGAGGTGGTCCCAGGCCGGCAAGGGTAGGGAGAAGAGGACCGTGTGGGGCAGTGGGGCCCTCACCCCGTTCGGGAGACAGCAGGTCGAGTTATGCAGTGCCCTGCTCCGAGCCATATGGCTCTGTCTCGCTGCGTGCCAAGCTGGCGGGACCCCTGGGATCATGAAGCGCCCCGCGGAGCCGTGGTGGCGCCAAGGGGGGCCCCGCGTCTTGGCAGCGGGAAGAAGTGAAGTGTGTCGCCCCCTTCCCCAGAGCTGAAAAAGATACTTGTTTGTTGTTGTTCACCTCTGTTTTGTGGATGCTGTCGCGTTTCACCTCTGTTTTGTTGGTGGTGCTTCCGTGGAGTAGCTGGGACACCCACTTTGAGGACATGCGAGTTCTTTCAATCATCTTCCTCTCCTTGCCACTTGCCGCTCTCGAGTGCTGCCGCTACAAAGCATCGCAGCTGTTCTTGCCCGTATGTCATTTGGAGTGGTGGTGATAGCCCCCTTTGAGGGAAAGCGAACTCAGTTCGACATCGGTGCTGGGGCTGGAAAAAAAGGATACCTTGGCTCAGTGCAGGACGATTTTGCGCGCGGGCGCCCTCACTCCGAGGCGCAGGGTGCGGTCTCGGCCTCGGGAGGGGGCGGTGTGCTCCTAGGGGCGGTCACCAAACGGCGCTCGGGACTGACAGCGAGGAGAGGTTCAGGGCTGCGGCCAAGCAAAATACCTCTCCGCCGGAGCTCTGGAAGGTTCTAGCTGCATTTGCGAGGCAGGACTAAAGTACCCCCTCAGGGCCAGGACTGTATCTAAACCTTTCACGATGGACATCTGTGCCTATCACGATCCTTTGCAACAAAAACAGAATGTGATGCACATCTCCTGATCTGAACATCGCCTTCTCCAACCTACAACGCTCATGATCCGGTGCAGATACTATTCTTCGCACCCCCAATGTAAACCATTCACGATGGATATCTGTGACGCTCACGATGGGAGAGGGGTTCCGAAGCCCCCACACTACCCTTTCAAAGAGGTGGGGGGGTCGACCCCCCCCCCTGAAAGGAGGGGGGGGTGCGAGCACCCCCGTTTTTCAATATTAGAGGGGCATCCACTGGCGCTCTTTGCCAAAACAAGGCTTCCTCCGTGCACAGTATCCCTGTGAGGCGATCCCCCTGCGAAGGATCCTTTTGTGCACGCGTTCCCCATGCCGAGGCTTCCTCCGAGCACGCGATCCCCCACCTTAGAAACAGCGTAAAATAAGACTGGTGGCGCCACGTCGCACGCCATCTTTGCGGCGCCAACAGTCTGTATTTACCATCACCGACGTCAGAAAACCAACAATTGCCACGTTTGCTCGCCAGCCTGAACACGCACACACACACACACACACTCACACACGCAAACCCACGCACCTCGCAACACCCCACGACCCCCGCACCCCCGCACCCCCGCACCCCCACACCCCCACAGCCCCACACCCGCACACACCCACACAACCACACTCCCACACCCCCACACCGCCACACCGCCACACCTCCACAACCCCTCACCCCCACACCCCCCCACCCACACCCCACACCCCCCCGCGCCCCCCACCCCCCCACACCCCACACCCACACCCACACCCCCACCCCCACACGCCACACGCCCAACCCCACGCCACCCGACCCCCCACCCCCGCACCCCCACACCCCCACACCTCACACCCCCACACCCCACATCCCCACACACCTCACCCCCCACCCACACACACCCCACACACCCACACACCCACACCCCACACACTCACCCCCACGCGCCCACACACGCACACACACACACACGCCAACAAGCCCACACGCCCACACGCCCACACCCCCACACCCATACACACCCACACGCCCACACGTACGCACGCACACACGCCCACACCCCCCTCACCCCTCATGCCCACACACTCACACACACTCACAACGACACACCCACACCCGCATACACCCACACACCCACACACCCACACACACACACACGCACAAACACGCACCCACACACACACACACACACACGCCCACACGCTCACACGCCAACACACTCGCACCCCCACACGCTCACAAGCCCACACGCACACACACACACACACACACACACACACACGCACATACACACACACACACACACGCACGCACGCACGCACACACGCCCACACGCCCACACGCCCACACGCCTGCACGCCCACACGCCCACACGCCCACACGCCCACACGCCCACACCCCGACACGCCCACACGCCCACACGCACACACACACACACACACACACGCACACCCACACACGCACAAACGCCCACACGCACACACGCACACACGCACAAACGCTCACCCGCACACCCGCACACACGCGCACGTACACGCGCACGGCACACGCACGCACGCACAAGCACGCACACGCACACGCACACGCGCACCCACACCCACACCCACAACCACACACGCACACCATATGCACACGCACACGCACACGCACACGCCTACGCCCAGGCACACCCACACCCACGCCCACACCCACACTCTCACACACACTTACCCACTTACCCACTTACCCACACACCCACATGCCCACACAAACACACACGCACACGTCCATATACGTAACCAACGCCACAAATCAGTTGAGGCAAGCTGGCGTACAAACATCCAAGACAAGCCCACATGAATCAGCCATCCCGTTCCCTGATTCCTTCAATTCCCCTGTTCTCTCCGCCCTCCCTCCAGTCTCCCTATCGCCGTCTTGCTCCCAGCCTGACCAACGGCCTTGTACATACTCCTCTTCCTCTTCCTCCCCGCTACCCCCACCCAGCATATGAATTCAGTCAATGCAGCGTACGCAACGCTCCGCTTCATCAATCGAGGTGAGCTTCTCTCATTTTGGATGACCACTCGTCAATTTCGGAGCCCCCCTGACCCAACAGAAAGACCTGATTTGGTATGATCTCCGCCATTCTTGCTTGGTCTGATCTGGAGTGGTCTGATCTCGGTCGACCTGGGAAATATTGCAATACCTGATCTGAGACCCATACCAGACCTTGCCTGCTTCCTCTTGGACATGGTTCAAGAACTCCGTTTCAGATCACAACCCCTGGGCTCGTGCTGCTGCGATTAACGCACTGAGTCCGCGCCGGCTGTGCATTCTGATTGGAAAGAATGTGGGAGACGAGATACAGAGAGAACAAATAACTTCGTCGAGTCTTCGCGCCGTGTCGTAGGCGGTCAAGGTGTCGTAGGAGATAAAGAGCAGGAAGAGCTGGATGACCGTAGTGATAACCATGCCTGCCCCCATCGCTCGTTACACTGCAACGGGGCAGGAGCAGACGCCAAAAGCCAACCACGTTCACTGAGGCAAAAAGCCAACTAGTTTCGAAACATCGCCATACGAGTGCGGGCCAAGAACATGAGCGCCTTCGCCGAAGGCCTGGAGCCTCCTGGAGATTCCCCAGACGAAGAACGTTCCAAGGTCGAGAGCCCAAACGCGAAGAGCATCAGAGTACCCCTTCGTAGCTGGGGACGTTCTTAACCCTCAAGCCAGCTGCACGCCAGGGACAATCGCCGAAAGCCACGATCACTGAGCAATCAGCGGAGTGGCCGCCGCGAGGGGGAGAGGGCGTGCGCGAGGGGGGCGGAGGGGATGAGAAGCGGACGGAAGCGCGAGGGAAGGGGCAGGACGACAAGGAGGACGAGGAGGCCGACGATCGAGGCAGGGAGAGGGGACAGGGCTGAAACTGAAGAGGAGGAGAGAGGGGTAGAGGAAACGCAGCAGAAGCAAAGTGGGAAGACGGGCAGGGGGAACGACAACACATAAAAAAGAACGTGCGTAGGAAAAACAACAGCCAGGAGGAAAAGGGGAACGGAAGGAGGAGGGACGAGGGATGCGCAAAGAGGACGGGGGGGACAATTGGAGGCGGTGATACCAACAAGTGGCACGTGTGCCATGGCTCTTGCACAAAAAGGCAGGGGGAAGATCGGAGGGGCGTGCCGTGCCGAAATACAAGGGTCGGGGCGGGGGGGCGCGCTGGCTGGTGGTTGGGTGGGTGCGTGGGGGGGGCGTAATAGAAGGGGTCGGGGCGGAGGGGCGCGCTGGCTGGTGAGTGGGGGGGATGCGGAGGGGGCGCGCGGGGCGCGCGGGGAGGGAATGGGGGCGTGCCGGAATAAAATAGTCTCGGGGCGGAGGGGGCGCGCCGGCTGGTAAGTCGGGGGATGCGGGGGGGGGCGTGCCGAAATGCAGGGGTCGGGGCGGAAGGGCGCGCTGGCTGGTGGGCAGGGGGATGCGGAAGGGGTGTGCCGTGCCGAAACAAGTGGCACGTGTGCCATGACTCTTGCACAATAAAGTAAGGAAGGGGCGCGCTGGCTTGTGAGTGGGTGGGTGTCGGTGAGGGGGGGGCTTATAAAAGGGGGGATGCGCTGGCTGGTGGGTGGGGGGGATGCGGAGGGCGCGCTGGGGCGCGCGGGGAGGAAGTGGGGGCCGTGTCGAAATAAAGGTGTCGCGGGGCGGAGGGGGCGCGCTGGCTGGTGGGCGGAGGGGGGATGCGGAGGGGGTGTGCCTTGCCGAAATAAAGAAGTCGGGGCAAAGAGGTGGGCCGTGCCGAAATAAAGGTGTCGGGGCGGAGGGCGCGCTGGCTGGTGGGTGGGGGGGGATGCGGAGGGGGTGTGCCGTGCCGAAAAGAAAGGTGTCGGGGCGGAGGGTGTGCGTGCCGAAATATATGGGTCGGGGCGGAGGGGTGTGCCGTGCCGAAATAAACGGGTCAGGGCGGAGGGGGCGCGCTGGCTGGTGGGTGGGGGGGATGTGGAGGCAGAGTGCCGTGCCGAAATAAAAGGGGTCGGGGCGGAGGGGTGTGCCGTGCCCAAATAATGGGATCGGGGCGGAGGGGCGCGCTGGCTGGTGGATTGGGGGGATGTGGAGGCAGTGTGCCGTGACGAAATGAAAGGAGTCGGGGCGGAGGGTGTCCCGTGCCGAAATAAAAGGGGTCGGGGCGAAAAGGCGCGCTGGCTGGTGGTTGGGGGGATGCGGAGGCGTTGTGACTTGCCGAAAATATAAAGGGGCCGGGGCGGAGGGGTGTGCTGTGCCGAGATACATGGGTCGGGGCGGAGGGGCGCGCTGGCTGGTGGAATGTGTGGGTGATGGAAGGGGTGCCGTGCCGAAATAAAGTGGTCGGAGCTCTAGGCACCCTGTGCAAGAGAATAAAGGAGTCGGGGCGGAGGGGTATGCCGTGCCGACATAAAAAGGGGTCGTGGCGGAGGGGCGCGCTGGCTGGTGGGTGGGACGATGCGGAGGCGGTGTGCCGTGCCGAAATGAACGGAGACGGGGCGGAGGGGTGTGCCGCGCCGACATAAAAGGGGTCGGGGCGGAGGGGCGCGCTGGCTGGTGGGTGGGGGGGCCGAGATAAAAGAGTCGGGGCGGATGGGTGTGCCGTGCCGAAATAAAAGGGTCGAGGCGGAAGGGCCGGCTGGCTGGCTGGTGGGTGGGGGGATGCGGAGGGGTGTGCCGTGCCGAAATAAAGGCGTCGGGGCGGAGGGGTGTGCCCTGCCGAAATAAAAGGGTCGGGGCGGAGGGAGCGCTCGGGGGGGGTGGGCGTGCCGAAATAACAACGTTGGGGCGGAGGGGGTGCGCTGGCTGGTGGGTGGGGGGATGCGGAAGGGGGCCGTGCCGAAATACAGGGGTCGGGGCGGGGGGGCGCGCTGGCTGGTGGTTGGGGGGATGCGGAGGGGGTGTGCCGTGCTGAAAGAAATGGGTCGGGCGGAGGGGTGTGCCGTGCCGAAAGAAAGGGTTCGAGGCGGAAAGGCGAACTGGCTGGCGGGTGGGGGGGGGATGTGGAGAGGGTGCGACGTGCCGAAATAAAAAAATCGGTTAGAGAGGTGTGCCCTGCCGAAATAAAGGTGTCCGGGCGGGGGGGGCGTTGGCTGGTGGGTGGGGGGGATGCGGAGTGGGTGTGCCGTGCCGAAATGCAGGGGTCGCGGGGCGGCGGGGCGCGCTGGCTGGTGGGTGGGGGGATGCGGAGGGGGTGTGCCGTGCCGAAATAAAATGGGTCGGGGTGGAGGGGTGTGCCATGCCGAAATGAAGCGGTCGGGGCGGGAGGGCGCGCTGGCTGGTGGGTGGGAGGGATGCGGAGGCGGTGTGCCGTACCGAAATGAACGGAGACGGGGCGGAGGGGTGTGCCGTGCCGGAATAAAAGGGGTCGGGGAGGAGGGGCGCGCTGGCTGGTGGGTGGCGGGGATGCGGAGGGGGTGTGGAAGGGGTGTGCCGTGCCGAAATAAACGGGTCAGGGCGGAGGGGTGTGCCGTGCCGAAATAAAGGGTTCGGGGCGGAGGGGCGCGCTGGCTGGTGAAATATGTGGGCGATGGAGGGGGTGCCGTGCCGAAAAAAAGTGGTCGGAGCTCTAGACACCCGGTGCAAGATAATAAAACATCAAAGAGAGCACGATCCACCTTCGCTGGCCTGAAAATTGTTTCTCGGTGGGATCAGAAACCAGGTGTCTCCTCCCCTGGAACAACCTTCAAGGCTCAGAATCAAGGGACCCCCCTCCGAACCTTCCCAATCCCCCCTTCCCCCAGAAAAACATATGAGTCATGACCCCCCCTCTGTGGAAATTAGTCGGAGATTTCAGACCCCCCCCACCGGAATACTCTGACTGTTCAAATCCCAACCACTCCGATTTGCGCTTGTAATCGCTGAAAATGGATAGGCACTTGATAGGCGTGTCCTTGACGGCGCCTCCTCGGCTCCGTGAAGGGTTGCCGCGGTTTCCTTTAAAGCTTTAATGCGTCCTGAGGGACCCCTGAGGTCGCGAAGATTCCCGAAGGATTCCTAAAATATTCAACTGATATCTGACGGGTCCATGAAGATCCCCTCGGATGATGTAAGGATTCCTGAGGGATTCCTTAGGAGGGAATCCTCCAAGGTCTCATGGAGAATGCAAATGGACTTCCTGCAAGCGTCTTATGGATTCCTGTAGCATTCCTCAAGGATCCCTGAAGGAAGACTCCCGAATGAAGGATTACTGAAAAATTCTGGGGGATTCCTGACAAGTGTCTGAAGATGCCCGATTGTTCCCGAGGGCTCTGTATAATCCTGGAGGATTCCTGAAGGAATCCTGCACGCACCTGAAGAAGTCCTGAAATCCCAGAAAGATTCAGGAATCCCGAACGATTTCCAACAGTTTCCTTTGGATTCCCGGGGATATTGAAGAATTCCTGGCGGCTCCCAGGGAGGATGCCTGCTGATTCGAGATGTCACGCTTTCCCTTTAAAGCATTAAGTAGGAACTGCGCCGGTCACAACCTCTAGCATGTGTGCATGTGCCACTGCGTTTATGTGTGTGCATGTGTGTTTCTGCCCATCGGAAGCGAATAGAAGGCGAATACAACCCCAGCCTCCAGCGAACATGTTTAATACTGTCGGCCCAAAGACATACGAACATCCGTCAATCATATAAAACCATCCGCCAGTAAAACCTGAAGAACATTCGAGGGTACCCTCCCCCAGGATACAAAAGAGCATCCTGCAAACACAAAAAACAGCAGAGTACCCTCACAATACCGAACTCGATCATATGTCTCGGTCCGACCGAATTCCGTACGTTTGCACTTGGAGTCCAATAGAAAATTCGTCGGCTTCAGCCAACAGCAGACTTTTTGTGTTGAAAGAAACCCTTCGCTTCCAGTCGAAATGTTGAAAGAAACGCGCCGACCCCAAGCTCCAGCACAACCCACACGCATCTTCCATGTGACTTTCAATCAGAAGCGAATAATCAATATGCGCCAATCCCAGCCTCCAGTAGAATTCGTTGATATTGTAGTTCGTTCCCGTTCGGACTTAAATAAGGAATGCGCCGATTGAAACACCCGCCACATCCTGAACAATTCTCTTTGTTCCCTAATCGGGGATCCAATCGGATCCGCACCGACCCCAACATCCAACATAAGTTTCTCATACGGTACATCTACATATATCTATATATGTATCGGCCAAATCTCTTAACAACATTGTTACATATCCCACGTGTTTATAATCTGGAATTCAAAAGGAAATGCACCGATCTCACCCTCCAACAAATTCATAGATATCATGTGTTCTGCGCACCACTTCGCCAAACTCCCACGGAGCGCCCGGTGATGCGCCTCTGGCGACTTCGAACGACTTAGAGGGAAGAGGAACCAACACCGTGACCAAGACCAAGTCTCTGCAGAGAACTCCACGCTTGGCAATTTGTGGGAAAGGGAAAGGCACAACACAAAACACTCGCCAAGACAGCGTAACAGTCCTGGCTCACAGAAATGGGACGCCACTCGGAAGAGGGCGCTCCAGTCCCTCGAGTGCTGGAGGAGGAGCGGAGGAAAGAAAAACCACAAACTCATCAGGGGCCGGCCGAAACGGTGTGTTGCGCTCTCGCTCCGTCCTCGCTTCACAACGAGTGCAACATGGGAGAAACACCAACTCGGGCGTCGCGATCGGATCCCGACGGCTCCGGAAGCGAGAACAAATCGAAAACCGAACCGAGAAAGGAAGCCGCCGGCGAGGCTCTCCAAAACAGTGCGCTGGTCGAGCCCTGGGAGCTCCTCCATCTGGCCTGCCCAGAGCCGCCCCGACTCCCCGTCAGCCCGCCGAACTGGATCTTCCAGGGGTCGGATATGAACCAGGCCTCCCGCGTCTTCCACATCGAGCGCCACCACGCCACCTCGGAGAGGCGCGGCGGGCGCGGAAAGAGCGGGGAGGGAGGAGGAGGAGGAGGAGGAGGAGGAGGAGGAGGAGGAGGAGGAGGAGGAGGAGGAGGAGGAGGAGGAGGAGGAGGAGGAGGAGGAGGAGGAAGGCGAGGAGGAGGGCGAGGAGGAGGGCAAGGAGGGGGAGAGGGCTGAGGAGGCGAGGGTGCAGAGGGCGAACAGGGGACTGAACATGTGGACTGCGTGTTGCAGGAGGGCTCTCAGGGCAGGTCCATCCTGCCGCGGGTGCCAAACGCCCCAGAGAGCATACAGGACAGCGCAACGAAGCGGCGGACGGCACCCCGGTGCGGCGCCTCATCCTCCAACTCCTCCTCCTCCTCCTCCTCCTCCTCCTCCTCTCCTCCTCCCCCTCCCGCCTCCTCCTCCTCCGCCTCCTCCTCCTCCTCCTCCTCCTCCTCTTCCTCCTCCTCCTCTCTTCCTCCTCCTCTTCCTCCTCCTCCTCCTCCCTCCCTCCCTCCCTCCCTCCCTCCCTCACTTGCTATCGCGGTCGGTGTGGTCGAATACCTGAAGCCGCCCCCAGTCCTGCCCCCCCGTTGCAAGGAGGCAAGGTTGGTTTTTGAAGGTGGCGCCACCGGCCGAAAGTGGGGGCTACCCCACGAGGTGAGGGAGAAATGTGGAAGGGGGCGACACGGGAGGACAGCAACAAAAAGAGGGGCGGACAGGGGAGGGCAGCAGGCACGACGAGGCGGGAGGAGACGAGGGAGAGGGGCAGAGTCGGCGGCAGTATGACATGGAGGAGACGAGGGAGAGGGGGTCGGCCAAAGCTGGGGCCTGACTTGCTGTAACTGCCCCTACTCCAAATTTCTTTCCTGCGCTGCCCACCTACCCTGATCCTCATACGCTCTCATCCCCCCCCCGGCGAAGTAGTTGTCGTCGCAGAGGTAGCCCCAGAGGCAGTATCCGCGGAGGTGGATGCCAGTGAGTACACCCGCTGGTCTTGGAGTAGGTGGAGCGTGCGGGGTCGGAGGTGTGTAGCCATGAGTGGCTGGTGATGGAGAAAGGTAATAATTTCTGTGGTCGGCGTCGGGCGCGCTGGCACCTCGTGCGGCTTCGCACAGTGGCGAAGATGGCGATCGCCAGTAGTTAGAAGCGCAGTTGGGTGATGTAGTCGTTGAGCTTGTCGAGGAAATTGTGGGCAACTGACCCTGCTGTAACTGACCCCGGGTAGCCACCCCGTTCTAGCAATCTCACTATCGACCTCACTATCGGCTTCACTATCGATATCAACGCAGGACACCCCCGGCAACCGCCCGCCCACCGCCGACGGAAGACGACAAGGGAGGGAGGACGAGCAAAAAAGGCGAAAGTAGCGACAGACACGCAATTGGCAGGCCTCCAGGGGAGACGAGGTCAGGGTCCGCGTGTAAATCCACTCCGCTGCAACTCCGAGGAGCTCGCGAAAGTGGCTCCATTTGCACAGATGGCAGACACCCCCTCCAAGGGAGGGCGAGGTCTAGAGGGTAGGGGGTAGGAGATAGGAGAGATAGGAGGCGGCAGGAGGAGGGAGCGGGAAGAGGCGGGAGGAGGGAGGAGGATGAGACGCGCGAGCAGCGCTTCATTCGAAACGAAGGCCCAACCAAAAGAGGGGACATAAACAGACAAGTCATGCCCGGAGAGACACAAGTACACCTCCCGACAGTCTTAGACTCGAGAACCCAGCAACGTCTATGTAACTGCATGGGTTGGAATCGCCCCTTCTCCTCCTCCTCGTGCTCCTGCTCCTGTTATACCTCGTCTGAACGAAGTCTGAACATGCGCCAGTCTCTTGTCTTCGCACCTCGCAAGCCGACACGTGCGAATCACAACCACATGGGCCACCCTCGCTGAAAGAGTTGACGGATCCATGCTGGAGAAGGGAGAGGGAGACAAGGAGGATGGGGGAGGATGACAAGGGATGAAGAGGAAGGCCTCAGCCTCCTCTGTTCTTTCCTCCTCCTACTCCTCCTCCTCCTCTTAATAATAATAATAATAATATTATTATTAGTATTATTATTAGTATTATTATTATTATCATTATCCTTATCATTATTATTAGTAGTATTATTATTATTCTTGATATTAATATGCTTATGCTTCTTATTATTCTTATTCTTTTTCTTATGATTAGTATTCTTCTTAGTTTCGGATTAGTTATTGGTAACATTATTATTAATAGTATTATTATTAGTCCTCTTCCTCCTCCTCCTCCTCCTCCTCCTCCTCCTCCTCCTCCTCCTCCCCCCCCTCCTCCTCCTCCTCCTCCTCCTCCTCCTCCTCCTCCTCCTCCTCCTCCTCCTCCTCCTCCTCCTCCCCCTCCTCCTCTTCCTCCTCCTCCCCCCTTTATACTGATCACTCCTGTCTCATCCCTCATCCGCCATAGCCAATTTGACTCAAGACATTTGGTCTGTATGGATGGTGTTTAGCCCATGCATGCACGGCACAGAAGGCGGCGAACATCATGGCAAGACCCGCCAAGGGGCCTGGAATTGCGCAACACACAAGGTGCTGCGAGAAGCGCGGGGTATCCCCACAATGTAGCGGCCGACTACCAAGGAGGAACTCCGTGTGACGCTAGTCCTGGGGGCCGACATCGACCTGGTGAAGCAGTTCGCGCTATGCCGCAATGAGCTGATCCTCGTCCTCCACCCTTCTATTGATTCTCCTGACCATCCCATTCCCTCTTGATCCCTCCACATCCTCCGCCTCCACCTCTTCCCCCTGACTTTTCCTCTCTTCCTCATCACCCTCCTGATAAGCCTCCTGGGCTGGACCTCGGCCTCCTCCTCCTCCTCATCCTCATCCACCTTCCTCCACCACCTCCTCCTCCTCCTAACCCTCATCCTCTCCCCTGACAGCCTCGTGAACCTCCTTATCCCCTCCTCCACCGTATCCTCCTCCCATCTCCCCCCTCCCCACCCACCCTCTACTGCCTCCCGCCCCCTTCCCCATTCACGATCACCCCAATTTAGGCGGTGCGCCCGGGGGGAATTGAGAGGGGGCGGACCTTCTCGGAAGGCTCGGAAGTTCCCAGGCCTTCTGAGAAGTTGTCGAAGCCTTCCCCGAGGACAGAAAACGCCTCTCAGGAGGCGCCAGGGCTTCTGAGAAGCCCCGCCGCCCTGCGAGAATGCCGCCTCCTCCTCCTCATCCCCCGCTCCCCGCGCCCCGCCGACGCTCCCCCCCATCCCCTCCCGCATCGGACACCATCTTTTGAGCAGGGACCGACCGTCCCGGCACTCCTGTAGTCATACCACGAAATGTTCTTAGAACCCAAACATGTTCTAAGAACCTTCCTAGGGAGCCCACGAAGGGCGTACGCGCCCAGCTATGTACATGAACACGGCCCCTCGATTCGCGAGACCGGCCGCGTTATACGCACATTTGTGCAATGCGTGCTCTCGAAAACAGCGTGGATTCATGCACATGTACGTCCTTCCTTCGCTCCTGAATTCCGTGGAAACCACAAAAGGTTCTTAGAACATTGTTTGGTAGGGCTATCGGCGAGCCAGGACGCTCCGCCACTGCTTGAGTCTTCCCGCGTCGCTCCGCGAGCCGGACCGAGCCGCGAGGGCCCCGAGGCCCGAGAGAAGGGGGCGAGAGCACGCCCGGCTCGCCATAACATCGGTCGCCAGGATCTCGGGGCCTCCCCCCCCCCATCCCCTTAGATCGGGCATGTCCTCCGACGGGCGGAGTTTGGGCGTTTTTTTTTTCCAACAAAAAAAATGTTCGTTTAACAAACAACCTAGAATTGTCAAAAAAAAAAAGGTTCCCTCATCACTTTCCGACTATTCTTCAACATCCCTCCTGTGGAGGGACAGGCCCGACTTAACACCCCCCCCCTCGCCCCTCCGAGACGGCGGCGGCGGGCGGGCGGCCGAGGGACGGCCGCGGAGAGCCGCGGCGGGCCCGCCGAGCCGATGCAGACCACGCGGGAGAGGAAGAAGACCGAGAGCCGGGGCCTCGGCGGCTCCTCTCCTCCTCCGCCTCCTCCTCCTCCTCCTCCTCCTCCTCCTCCTCCCTCCTCCTCCTCCTCCTCCTCCCTCCTCCTCCTCCCTCCTCCTCCTCCTCCTCCTCCCTCCTCCTCCTCCCTCCTCCTCCTCCTCCTCCTCTATTCCTTCTCCTCATAGACAACACCTCCCTGTCGCACCCCGACCCCAGCTTTTAGGGCGGGCTGGGCGTTTCGCCTGAGACTTCCTCACCACTTATGACCCTGAAACTTGAAACATGACAACCGTTTCACAGATGGAGGGCGGGTGGTTTTCAAAATGTGGCTGTCGCCTTAGCGCCGCGCACATTCGTTGTAATAATTGGAACAGCTTCACGGATTGAGGGCGGGCCGTTTTCAAAATGTGGCTCTCGCCTTAGCACCGCGCATATTCGCTTCAAACATTTGCAGGCGTTTCGCGGATTCAGGGCGGGTCGTTTTCGGAACGTGACTCTCGCGACAACGCCACGCACATTCGTTTCAGAAATTTGCAGGAGCTTCCGAGAAATGCGGCCCTCGCCATAGCGCCGCGCGCATTCGTTTTAAACGTGTGCAAGAGTTTCGCGGATTCCCATGATCAGCGTACTAGTGCCAAAAGTGGTGTGTGGAAGGAATGACGATTATAGGGCACAACAGTTACGTTCATTCGCTTTGTTGAAGCCTCAGGAATGGTGTCCTGGCGCGATTAAAGATCGTCCAGACGCAGCAGTCAGGTTGATCGGTGGCGTTGGAATCCCGAGAACATTGTTTTGGCATGCTTCAGGACCGTCAAACGGTTGTCTTCCGACGAGGCAACTCCCTCAGTGGAAATGAACCGGTGTAGGGGCCTATGAAGAAGAAGAAGCTTGGAGGGAGGGTGTATTCCAACATCGTTGATGACTCTTGGGTTCCCACTGGTCCTCCACCTCGTCCTCCTCCTCCTCGTCCTCCTCCTCCTCCTCCTCCTCCTCCTCCTCCTCCTCCTCCCCCTCCACCTCCTCCTCCTCCCCCTCCACCTCCACCTTCTCCTCCTCCTCCTCCTCCTCCTCCTCCTCCTCCTCCTCCTCCTCCTCCTTCCTCATCCTCCCTCCTCCTCGTCCCCGGAGACCCCGCGCGCGGCTCGGGGATCGACGACGACGACGACGACGACGACGACGACGACGACGACGACGACGACGACGACCCCCCGCGGTCTCGACCCCCCCAGGCCTCGTCGGGGATCTACTGACCCAGGTCAATCCCGACCCAGGTCGGTCAGGCACTGCAAGTTTCCGCAGGGCCCTGCAGGCTCCTGCGCCCAGGCCCAGGCCAGTGCTGCCCCGGCCCTCTGCAGGCTCATGCAAGAGGTGCGGCGCTCGGACTGGCCCCTCGTCTGCATGCGACCCCCGGATGGGGCACGACTGAATGTGGGGGGGGCGATTTTTACATTTGGGAGCCCCCAAACCAAGTGGTGAGATATCAGGTTGCGACCTGGAATCCCCAAAAGTCACCGCCGGGTTTTGCCGCTGCCGCCGCCGTCGCCAGAGTCAAAACTGAGAGTAAAGATGCGCGGTATGTACATTCGGAACTAAGACAACAAACACATCCTTCAAGCACGAGGCCCTCCGCCGGACGCGAGGGCAGCCTCCCCCCTGATGCCAAAGAGCAGCCAACGAATACGAAGAGCCCTGGGGGACCCGCCCCGAGCCGACCTCGATCTTCTACGTCGGTCCGGCGGTACGGATGCAGGGGCCCTGAACGCCCATGCCGTCCTCCTCCTCCTCCTCCTCCTCCTCCTCCTCCTCCTCCTCCTCCCCCTCCTCCCCCTCCCCCTCCTCCTCCTCCTCCTCCTCCTTCTCCTCCTCCTCCTCCTCCTCCACCTCCTCCTCCTCCTCCCTCCTCCTCATCCTCCTCATCCTCCTCCTCGAGCGGAATTTGCCATCGAAAATGGCTGAGGATGGACCCAAGAGTAACGGAAGCGGCAGGGCAGCACAGGTGATCCTGGAGAGGTCGATCATCCTTACTACCAATCTCGACTGTAATCGTCGACGCCGCCGTCGCCGCCAACGCCGTCGCCGTCGCGGCCGTCGCCATTGTCGTAGCCGTCGCCGCCACAGAGGGACAATGTCGATCACGACCCGCTGCTGGGAAAACTGAAGGGTACCGATACCGCTGCTCATCAGACCTCGCCCCGGGGTGCGTTCTAACCAGAATTTCGAAAGCGAATCCAGCGGTGGCGACGGGGGCCTCCCAGGAGGCCCAGGAAGAGGAAAACGAGGGAAGGGTACCAGTATGGGTACCTTTTCCTACTCTGAGCTGTGTCGGGAGATCTGGGGGGGTCCCCTTCGCGAAACGAATCACTGAAGGGGCCCAAAGAAACACGTATATATATATATATATATATATATATATATATATATAACTACACACAAACCCGGTTCCCATATCTTCTCATATGTTCTCGATGTTCGCCGTCCACCCGCTTACCAGATTTTCCCATGTGTTCCTCGGAATCGACGACCATTTGTGTCTGTGTGCTGTTTCCCTACGGGGCCACGAGGTCGGGGGCCCCGCCCCTTCGGGAGGCACTCGGGGAGCGCAAAACGCACCGGCAGTGGGCCTCGGCGGCACGCTCTGCCGCGGACCGCACCTGCGGTCTGAGAAACCCTAAGAAACTCAACCGCATGTTAGCACCACCTTATGTAAAACGACACCTAGGGGAGGGTAAAATCGAATAACACGGAGGAGGAGGAGAAGGAGGAGGAGGAGGAGGAAGACGAAGCCAGGGCGGGGATAGCATCGGGTGGGGATAAATTCAGAATCGCTAAGATCTGGCGGCTCTGGGGGATGTCTCGGGCGCCGCGGCCATTCTCAGAGCGTTCCGGAACGCTTTGAGTGTTCTGGAAAGCTCTGGAGTGGATTTATCCTCGTCCTAGCCCCGTCCGACGATACCAGAATCAAACACTCCCCGATACGGTCTTCGGGCCGCCTAAGACGGCGCCACAGCGGTCCCGGAGGCCCTGCACAAGACTCCGAGGCAGCCCCAAGACAGACCAAACCCAGCCCACGACCTGGGGCCGAGTTCTGCGCAATTAGAGGCCAGCGGTGCGCGGTTGGCCCAGACCTCTCCGCGTACACAGATGGTGGTCCCGCATCTTGTCGTTACAAGATACGACCCCCATACACGCCTGTCGGAAGAAGTTGGTAGAAACATGAAGAAGGAAGGCGTTGGAAGTATAGTGGGCTTCCGCACGCTTCCTAAAGAGGTGGGAAGTAGATTGGGATCTCGGAGTTCAAAAAACCGCCGATCCGGCGTGTGAACTATAAGGAGCCTCAGCAAAAGCTTCAGCTCTGAGCCTAAGCAAGAGCTTCAGCTCTGCTTGGTGGAGGGTCGCCGGGGTGGCTCTGCCAGGGAAGGGGGGGAGGAAGGGGTCCCCCATCAGGGCGTTTTCCTCATGATTTGCGCATCCAGAACCCCATCCCGGGAAGGGGGGAGGGGAGGTGGGGGCGGTCCCCCATCTGACATTTGTTTAATGATTTGCGCATCCAAAAATGTTTCGGGGGGTCCCACGGACCCCCTCAGACCTAGCCGCTACCGCCCCTAGGACCCTCCCCTCGGAACCCTCCCTGGACCCCCGGAGACCGCTCCAGACACCCCCCCAGAGGAGAAGAAAGAGGACCGGAAGAATTGAGGAGGCAGGAGGCCACAGAGCTGCGAAAATCACCGAGTCCGGAGCCCCCCGGATCGGCAGCACTGGCCAGAGGCTATTACAATACCTACTTTCAGCGACTGGCGTGTACGGCAGGTTCGCGTCGTGTCGACCCCGGCGTTGGTTTCTGACACCGCGGGGATCGTTCAACCTGGAACGATCGGCCGCTGCCGCAACGGCCGATCGTTCAACATCGATCGATTCTGGGTCGCCGGCGGCGTTCAACCTTGAACGCCCGCGCTGGGGTCGCCGCTGGTCGACACGACGCAAACCTACCGTACATCCTTGCTCCCGTGGGGATGCGGGGAGGGTGATCCTACGGCCCCCGTCTCCCGGTGCCGCCTCCCGCCTCCCGCTCTGCGGGCCAACGCCACCACCCCACCACCGCCGCCACCGCCGTTTCTTCCGCCTCCTCCTCCTGCTGCTCCCCCCCCCTCCTCCTCCTCTCCTCCTCCTCCTCCTCCTCCTCCTCCTCCTCCTCCTCCTCCTCCTCCTCCTCCTCCTCCTCCTCCTCCTCCTCCTCCTCCTCCCCCTCCTCCTCCTCCTCCTCCTCCCCTCCACCTCCTCCTCCTCCTCCTCCTCCTCCCTCCTCCTCCTGCCTCCTCCCTCCTCCTCCTCCTCCTCCTCCTCCTCCTCCTCCCTCCCCCTCCTCCCTCCTCCTCCTCCTCCTTCTCCTCCTGCTCCTCCTCCTCCTCTTCCTCTCCTCCTCCTCCTCCTCTCTCCTCCTCCTCCTCCTCCTCCTCCTCCTCCTCCTCCTCCTCCTCCTCCTCCTCCTCCACTTCACTTCGGCGGCGAGCAGCGGGGGGAAGTGAGGAGAAGGCCATCTCAAAAGGCGGCGGGGCTTTCCAAATGACATCCAGCCTTCTGAGCAAAATTCCGTGTCTTCGGGAAAAGCTAAGGAAACTTCTCAGAAGGCCGGGGGACTTCCTTCCCTGGCTCTCCGCCGATCATCCATCACCACCTCATTATCCTTGTTCCCCCTTCCCTCTCCCTCCGAAAAAAATCCTCCTCCTCCTCCTCCTCCTCCTCCTCCTCCTTGTCATCCTCCTCCTCCTTGTCCTCCTCTTCCTCCTCCTCCTCCTCCTCCTCCTCGTCCTCCTCCTCCTCCTCCATCATCGCCCCATTACCCCCTTACCTCCTTTCCCCCTCGCTGCTCACTAGAGAGCGCCACTGAGAGCGCCGCAGCGCGCCTTCCCACTCGAGAACGTCATCCTCCATCATCCCCCCGTTCCCCCCCTGCCCCCTTCCCCTCCTTCCCTTTCCCTGAAGTGCTCACTGGAAAGCCACTGCAAGCGCCACAGCGACACGTCTCACTCGAAAAAGTCATCCTCCTCCTTCATCGCGCCATTCCCCCCCCTTTCCCCCCAGCCCCATTGCCCCCCATCCCTCTCCCTGAAGTGCTCGCTAGGGAGCCACTGAGAGCGCCACAACGACACGTCCCACTCGAAAACGTCATCCTCTTCCGTCATCGCCCCACTCCCCCCTGTCCACCCTTTCCCCCCCTTCCCTTCCCTGACCTGCTCACAAGGGAGCCACAAAAAGTGCCACAGCGACTCTTCTCACTCGAAGGAGTCATCCTCCATCACCGCCCCATTCCCCCCTTCCCCCCTTCCCTCTCATTCCATGTCCCCGAAGTGCTCCACTGAGAGCGCCGCAGCGACTCTTCCTATTCGAGGAAGTCCCCCTCCTCTTCCATCATCGCACCATTCCCCTTGTTCCCTTTTGCCGCCCTTCCCTCGACCTGAAGTGCTCAACGAAGGGCCACTGAAAGCGCCACAGCGACTCTTCCCATTCCAAGAAGTCATCCACCTCCATCATGACCCCATTACCCCCATCACCCCGTCCCCCCCCTTTCCCCTCCCTGAAGTGCTCACCAGAGAGCCACTGCAAGCGCCACAGCGACTCGTCTCACTCGGAGAAGTCATCCTCCTCCTTCATAGCCTCCCACCTTCCCCCAATCCCCCTTACCTCCAATTCCCCTTTCCTTACGTGCTCACTAGAGAGCCACTGAGAGCGCCACAGCGACTCCTCCAACTCGAAGAAGCTGATCCAACGCTGACGAGGCCACACAAAGATCACCATGACTGGGCGCGGCGGTGGGCCCGCTTCTCTTCCCCATCATCCGCGCCATCCTCCGGCTCTTCCTTCACTTCCTCCTCGTTTCCCCGTTCACCTCCTTGCCACCTCCTCCTCCTCCTCCTCCTCCTCCTCCTCCTCCTCCTCCCTTCCTCCTGCACTGCCTCGTCATCGTCTCCTTCTCCTCTGGGTCGTCCTCGTCCTCCTCGACACCCGCGTTATCCTCATAATCATACTCCTCGTCGTTGTCCACTTTGCTTTCTTCCTCCCGTTCAATATCTTCTCTTCATGAATACACCTCGCTGTCGCATCCTGGGGCAGGGCGTTTCTCCTGAGACTCCTTCACCATCTACGACTGCGGAGCTTAAGCTTGCAACGGTTTCACGGATGAAGGGGCTGGTCGCTTGTAACATGAAGCCCTCGCCTCAGCACCGCGCACACTCATCTTATGAATGTGCGAAGGCACTTCACGGATGGAGGGCGAGCGGTTTTCAAAATGTGGTTCGCACCTTAGCGCCGCGCACTGTATGTTAAAGGTTGTAAGAGCTGCGCGGATGGAGGGCGGTACCATTTCAAAGTGGCTCTCGCCTTGGCGCCAAACACATTCGTCGTTCAAGTTTGTAAAACCTTCATGGGTGGAGGGCGGCTCCTTTTTGAAAATGCGGCTCTCGCCTTGGCACCGCGCGCATTTGTCTTAAGAGGTTGCAAGATGTTCAAAGGTTCACGTGGCTCACATCCCAGAAAAGGTGTTTTGGCACGAGGATGGAATGTCAGGGCGCAACAGTCAAGTTGATTCGCGGTCTTGAAGTCCCAGAATGGTGTTATAGAAAGATTCAGTATCGCCACGACGCAATCGCAACGATGTTTGGGGGCGTTTAAACCCTAGGAATGATATTCTGGCACAATTCTGGATTTTCAAACGGTTGTCTTCGATCGGATCACTTCCCCAAGTTAAGATGAACCCTCGTATGGGGCCTGATTGAATAGAACTAGGAGGGAGGGTCTCTTGCAATATCGTTGATAAATGTTGGGTTCACACTGCTCCTCCTCCTCCTCCTCCTCCTTCTCCTCCTCTCCCACCTTCTCCTCTCACGTCCTCCTTCGCCTCCGACTTGTGGGTCTTCAGGCGTGTGAGATTGTTCCCCTCCACAATCCCCTCCCAGAAACCCCGAACCGGCAAGTTGACCCCCCCTTTGGCCCCGGACGAACGCGCCTACACGCTCCCTGGCCACGGACGAACGCGCCATGGGGGGACAGAGGGCCCCAAAACAGGTCAAGAGGGCCTCAAGACTGTCCAAGAGGGCACCGAGTCGCCGAAAGATCGCTCCAGGATGCCCAGGGCCAGACAGCCCAAGATGCCCCCAAAACGCCCAAAGGCGATTCGATTCCCACCAGGTGTTTGAAGGATTTTGGCGTTCTCACCTTCTCTGTTCCCGACGCCCCAAGATGGCCCAAGAGGCCCCCAAGATCGTCCCAAGATTGCCCGAGAGGCCTCCAAGAGGGCCACAAAACGGCCCACGAGGGCTCCAAGACGGCCCAAGAGGTCGCCAAGACGGCCCGAGACGGCCCCAGGACGGGTCCAAGAGGGGGCCCAGACGGAGGACCAGAGCGGACACTTCGAGCCCTCGGCTTCGAGAGGCTCCCAAGAAGCGCCGAGGAGGCCCCCCCAAGAGGCCCCCCCCCCGAGAAGCCCCCGAGAGCCCCCAAAGAGGCCCCCCCAAGAAGCTCCCAAAGCGGCTCCGAAACTGCGCCCCCCTCCTCCTCCTGGTTCATGGTTCATCCCTGGGCGGCCGCCTGCGGCTGCAGGCGAACGCCGCTAGGTCTCAGACCGACGCGGCACCTCAGTACACCGCGAAGAAGAAAAGCAAACTCTCGCCGACGTGCCCGCTCCCTGTATAGGGCCACGCGGGCAAATCACAAGATCCAGTGCAGATACCTGATAGAGCACAACGCCTCCAGTACCGCGAAACGAAACCCTCGTCGATGCGCCCGCTCCCTGTATAGGGCCACGCGGGCGATTCACAAGGTCCAGTACTGATACAAGAAAGAGCACAACGCCTCCAGTACCATGAAAGTAGATGTGATCAGACACCGCACCCACGAACTGAACTCCCAAGCCAACCACTAGATCAACACAGGAACCCAGCAAAACAGGCAATGAGCCGCTGCCGCTCGCTGTTGCCAACGCGCGACCGGGTCTAACGTGCTGGTGCCCAGGGCAGCAGAGGTGCTGCCGCTCGCTGTTGCCAACGCGTGACCAGGTCCAACGTGCTGGTGCCCAGGGCAGCGGACACACCACCATGGCGACACGAACCTGGCACCCCAGGATTTCAGGATGCGAGCACAGCACGAACATCCACAGGTCGAAGCAGACGAGAACATCGCCTTCGCCCACAACAAAAAACAGTCACAGCCTCATCTGGGCCAGCACCGACGTGTGAAACTCGATGGAACGCGCTTTGGCAAATCGAGCAATCCACTTGACCTGGTTCTTCCTGACCGCAGGATCCTTAGACGCCCCAGGGCAAACTTCTTTGAGCTTGAGCACCTTCTTTGTGACGTCCGTAGAAGTGCCAGCACAACGAACACAAACGCACGCCAGACCATCCCATTGCAACGTGTGGCCTTGGCCTGCAAAAAAGGTGCGCGCCGCCATTTGAGGAGCCTCTGACGAATCAACCACAACCTGCTCTGAGATGGCCTCACCAAGTAGGGCATCAGCTAGTTGTACGGCTTCATGCACTGCCTCACTGCGCACAGGCTGGTATGTAAGGCCCTTGGGAGTGCCGAAAAAGATGTCACACTGCAGCCTGTGATGCTCCGACGCACTACAATACTTACGAATACCCCGGCCCAAGTTGTCCAGGTGGGTCGTAGTGGCAGCTCGCACCCCACACTGCCTGCACCGATATTCTGCGTGAACATCAGATCTCCAAGAAATATGCTCCAGTACCGTGATACGTGGCTGAAAGCATGGAAATCGTACCTGACGATCTTGAGACTCCCAGAGCTGCTGCTGGAACAACCTGCACAGCGCGAACCCCAGGTACCTGGACATCAACTTGGCTTGAGCCAGCGCCATCTTGAACAAGTCGCAATACCCTTCTGCATATCCGATGTCCTTCGCGCCCAGCTTCGCAAAATGATCAGCCCAGGCGTTGCCCAAGACCCAATCGAAGTTAGCCTCACGCTTAGCGACTCCAGCCGCCACCTCATCCAGGTCAAGATGAGAGGGACACCAGCCGAAGGTAGGAGGTGCAGCTTTCCGTGCTTGAGCAAAGTTACGTATAGCCCTCCATATGCCCGCGTGTCGTGCGCCAGCGAGCGCATCATACTCGTCCCAACGGTTGCCTTCAGCGACGAGCGCCGAGAGATCTGTGACCAACAGCTTCACTCCAGGAAAGTGTCGTAGAGCCTGTAGAACGCAGTGCCGCTCCGCTGCTCCAATAGCCTGCTGCGCCCCTGGAAGGCCTCCGTAGACTGCACGAGCTGGATATCCATCAGGAGACATTTGGACACAGGCCCAGCCGCAACGTCTCAATTCAGGAATGCTGGATGGAATAGCCGAGCCGTCTGTAAAAAACTACGCTTGGCCAGTCTTCTGGCGACCCAGCCCAAGATCCCCAGTACCCCACAGGAGGGTCAGGTTCGGCATGTTGCCAGTCTCCTGGTACCTGCGGGAGCCCCACACTGAGCTCAAAGCGCTCGTCGCTGACTATCGGCCGATTGATGGTTCCGTTCTGCAGGATCGAGTCGCGGAAGGACGTGAGCTCATCAGACATGGGATGATCGTCTTCACCTTCCAGCAGCCACTTGTTCACCGCATCGCACTTGAAGCAGACGTGGCCAATCGTCTCGTCGTCGCCTTGGCAGGCCCGACACAGTGAATCGCCGACCTTCTTGTGCGCTGCAAGACGTACTTTGGTCCAGAGCGAACCAGACCATAAAGCCCTGAGCGCACCAGCCGTCTTTGGGTTTTTGACCGTAGCCGAAGGCCGGCCCAAGCAAGCACGCAGCCCGCGCGCCCACAAGCCCGCTGCTCGTGATGTGCCAGGATACGTTGCATCTGATATCGCTGAATACCTGCTCGAAGTAGATCGCGAAGTAGAAGCGGGGCAACCTGCAATAGTGACCAGCTGCATCCCTGATCATCTTGCACCACTGTCGAAGACAACATACGCCATCCTACCCTTTGCAGGGACAACATGACTACACCAATCGGTCCTCGAGCCGTACTCCAACTGAGAGAAGTAGCATTGATTGCTTGCCAGGCTCGTTCTAACCTGCCCAGGCCAACGAGCTGTTCCCACACCAATCTATGGTAATAGAACATCGGCCCAGTCGTTGCGTCGAAGATGGGATCATACCATGGGTCACGCTGAGTCGCCAAGTAGAGGGTACTGCTTGCTCCACGCTTGGGGTAGCCCGCCATAATGGCGGATATGCTCCTCATGACCTCCAGCTCCTTGTCAGACACGCCGCTGACCGACGACCCGTGAGCCACCGACGGCAGTAGCCCAGTTCTCCACAATCGCGTAACCTTGGTACCCACCGTCCGTCGAAATGCATGTACCCGATGAGCACGCTGTTTGAGACTTGCCAGCCGTTTCTTGGCAATCGTGCGCCTCACCACTGGCCCATGCAACTCATGCCCCAAATTCCGCATGTGCGGCTTCGACGGGATGTGGCAGTAATCAGAGGCCGCCTTAGATGCCTTGATCACTGCGGCCGACGCGGCAACGAAACCTGACTTGCTGGCCTGAATAACGAGCCCTACCCCCTTGACATCAAAGATAAAACCTTTCAGCGCCGCCCAGAAGCCACTGAGCTGTTGTGTCGAGCGGCCAACCCACTGCGCCGAAACGTCATCCACCAAGGCTCGTGGTATAATATCATCTCTAGCAAGTCGTCGAATGGCCTTTGCTGCGAGCACCGCCAGCATAGTTGTGGACATACTGCACCCTGCTAAGATACCTTGCGCAGATCTGTACCATACAGAGAGAGACCC